GGAAAGACAGTGGACGCCTGATGAATCTAGGAGCAGTTTTTCAGTACAACGTTCTTAGGTATGGTTCTAACCATGAATCTTCTGCATGGAAAGAAAATAGGATGTATGTTCAGGAGGTAGATTACAGTGTGTGATGTTGATTCAGGCATCTATTTCAGTACGAATATGCAGTGAGAAAGCCGTAGCAAATGGCAGCTTCCTAGCATATGAATGGGATTCGGTACAGTAACATGACAGCCCGCGCTTGGCTTTCATGGCTCTCCCACCCGGGGTCAGCCAACAGACCTACGGGTGCCCTGACATGGATGGCCCAGGCTAGCCTGATCTCACCAGGTCTCCAAAGCGAAGCAGGGCCAGCTCTGGTGAATACTTGGACGAGAGACCACCATATGTTCCCACCAGAAACCACCGTATGTTCCCTCAAGAGCACTGTGATCTGGCAAAGCACCTCTGACCGGCTATTGCCTTGAACACCCTACAGGGCCACTGTAAGTCAGCTGAGACTTACTTTCCACCACCACCAGGGCCTGTGGCTGCCATCGACTGTTAATAGGGTTACTTATTTACTTCATTTATACCCCACTTTCATCCCCAGTGGGGACCTGAAGTGGCTTACGTTCTCCATTCTATTCTCACAGCAACCCTGTGAGGAAGGTTAGGCGGAGAGCGCGAGACTGTCCCAAGGTCACAACAAGCTTTGATGGCAGACTGGGGGTTTGAACCTGGGTCTCCCAGGTCCTAGTGTCCAGCACCCTGACCAATACACCGAACTGGCTGTTCACTCGGGCCCCTTGGAGACGGAACAGGACTGCCCCTTTATACTGAAAGAAGCTTCTCAGGCAGGCCAGCTCTCCTTCCCAAGGTGGGATACGTGACCCAACTTTGTGAGCATCAAGCCTTCCATTACCTGTAAGAAACTGAAGCTAAGCATTTTTTCAGCTTTCAACTTCTCACCTCTGGAAGCTGTAAGATACACCTGCTGGCCTGAAGACACTGGCTTCCTTCCGGACATAAGTGAGGGTCCAGCATCTTTTGGCTTCTGTTCAAAACACAGAGGCAAAGAGAAAGAGTTTACAGGAGTGTCTGAAAAGAAACCACAAGAACCAACACCAGCCAGGCCGTGGGATCATTTTTCATCTTCTCCCTTAGTAACAGTTTATAGGCCCCACCTGACAACTACCACTCTAGGGGAAATCTGAGAAACAGATGCTGTTTCTAACTGGTTGCTCTCTGGTCCACCTTGACAAGCTATACACAGAAAGCCACGACCCTTCTCCAAACACTCTGAGTTAGTGACATCCTTGGAGGACTATAGAAGAAGGAAAAATGATATCTGGAGTAGGGATGGGCATAAACCGCATTTTTGCAGGTTGGTTCATGGTTTGTGGCTGCATCACGAACCAAACCATGAACCAATATGCTGGTTCATGAACTGAATTGGTTTGTGAGCCATTTAGAGTTTAAACCCCTGCTTTCGGCTCCTCACAGCTTTTCATGGGGAGCAGAAAGCAGGGGTTTCCAAACAGCTGAGTGGTGGTCGCTCATCTGTTTGGTTTAAATAGCTCCGACCATTTAAACCTTGAGGCTTTTCGTGGGGAGCAGAAAGCAGTGGTTTAAATGGCTCCACAAACAGCTGAACTGGTTTTTATGAACCACCACGAATCGCCACAAATGACATCAAAATTCATGGAAGTTCATGGCAGTTCTTCAGTTCACGAATATTGCTTTGTGAGCCACAAACCGGCCAAAATCCATGATGAACTTTAGTTTGTCAGCCGATTCATGCCCATCTCTCATCTGGAGCACCAGAAAGAAGCAAGGATAAATAGGGTTACCTAGCCACAATCAAAACTACATTATCCACGGCCTAGAGTGTACAATGGTTTGGACGTGCACAAGAGTGAAGAAATGCTAGAAATAAATGTTATCAGACTACTCCCCACCCTGAACAGCCGAAACTGGAGCCCAAAGTATAGATCTCTGCCAAAGAATCAAGTGTATCAGCAGTAGACAAATGAGAAGAGAAAGCTATGGATCGAGTGCAGTGGGAAAGAACTAGGACAGATTCAAGAATCTGGTTTGGACCGTGGAACAATTTCAGCCTAAATTAAAATGGATAACAAATTCCTTGAGCTGCCTAGTTCTTTTAACGTTTAAGATTGCAGTTTTAATAATTAATGGTAAGCATACTAGTTTGAAAGTCTATTTTGCTAAGATCACTGCAACTTCCTTTCAAGCTAATGTCCTTTAAGACTTGATCATTCATCCCCTCACCCATTCTGGGAGGCAAAGATCTTATTATGCTCATTATTCCACAAAGGAGAAGAGAGGCTGACAATCCAATCCCATCCAAAGTTATTCCAGCCTAAACCTATTGATTTCAGTGGGCCTGCATGGGATTGTACTGTAAGTGCCTGCAACTTTCCCAGGCTCTTGTCTGATGGTCGATCCAAACCAAGGTTGGCTCAATGGGGGAAAGGGCTGTGAATCAGCGGAAGAGCCTCCGCCTTACATACAGAAGGTCCCAGGTTCAATTCCTAGCACCTCCACTTAAAAAGAACCAGGTAGTAAGCAATGTGAAAGACCTCTGTCTAATACCCTGGAGAGCCACTGGAAGTCTGAGTAGGCCATACTGTCCATGACGGACCAGTGGTCTGATTCAGTTTAAAGCAGCTTCAGGTGTATTCACGTGTGCTAGTCACTGCATCAGACTGGCTCCCCAATTCAACAAGTGAACCCATGACTGCACACGGGTACCATGAGGCACCTGAACCACTTACAGCACGGCTACTGGTTAACTGGTTTTACACTGGTGAAAAATGGAGGCTCCTAGAGCCAGGCCAGAGCAACTGCAGCACTGGACTTTGACCAGGAAGACCAAAGTACAAATCCCAACTCAGAGTTCCTCAAGTGGACAAGATGTCAGAAGTGAGCAAATGCAGCAGACAGCAACTGTGGGACATCCCTCTGTGGTTACTCTAGAAGATGACCTTAGGTGAGGTCTTGGTCATGAAGTTCACCCACCAGCCTGTATCTGGTCACTCTCAGCCTAACCCACCTACTGGGCTGTTAGAAGACTACAACTGGGCTCATTTGGCAGGAAGATGGCTCTGGGATATCATGAGACCACCTTAAAAAGTCTTCACTAAGGTGGGCTTCTAAGGGACATGCGCACACAGAAGAGAATCATGTACATAGCAGGAGTTTTGCTTACTGTTTTTACTGAAAACACCACCTTTGAGCGGTGACAAAAGGAGCAAGCCAAGTTCTTGCAACAGAAACATATTCCTATCTTTGGGTCCTGGCCTAGAAGAAGTAACCGGGAACAGCTGAATGTTGGCAGAGCTCCCTGCATTATCCTGTTGTGGGGAGGGGAAGGGAAAGGAGATTGTAAGCCGCTCTGAGACGCCTTTGGGGAGTAAATCTCCCAATCATCTCCATCTCCTCCTCCTCTTCTTCTAGAGTATTCTGGCCCCGTTTAGGGCTCATTCCAGAGGTATTTTGGGAAAGGGAAGGCAAGTCACAAGGAACAGATGCTACCGCCTGATCCAGGCCTCACGGGAGCTGCCTTTTGATGGTTTCCTTTAGTGAGCATTTATACCTTCACCGGCTAATCCCTGGCCATTTCCCTTCTAAATTTAATCTTCTCTCCAGAGATCTGTACTGCATCCCTCCTCCGCTGCTGGTTTCTCTCCCCCTCCCCTTCTATCTGTGGCATTTGAGGCCTGAGCTGCGAAGGTCCACTTTCTTTTACAGCTGCCTGCATTTCAGCAAATGGTTCTGCTTCTCAGTATCCCCTGTCTCTGAAAGCCTCCCTATATGAAGCCTCTGAAGAATTCATTGAAAGCACTCTACTTCTTGATGCAGAGAATCTGAGGCTTCTGCAAAACGGGATTCTCACTGCCGTTTTGTGCAAAGGGAGAGGGGCGCTTAGGAGACACAGCCGCCACTGAAAAAAGGTGGCAGCCGGAGCCCCAAGTGCTTGCGGCCATCATCACCCCGGAAGTGAATGGGAGAGGTCTCCAAATAATGCCAGGTCAGGTGATTTACCATGCACCATGAACTGAAGTTTTGACATCACGTTCTTCTTCCCCAGCACTTTTGCATGCTGCCATCATTTGTGGTAACACCACCGTTTGCTGAGCATTGCCACTGTTAACTCCTAATGTGAATCATTTAGGCAACCCAGCCATGGTTGTAACTACTGTGGAATCTGAGTGGGCCTCCACGCCCAAATATTCTTGCGCACTGATAATTACAGGTGCCTGTTGGTTTGATCAAGTGGCATTACAAACACAGTAAATCAAAATAAGCAAGCAAACAAACGTTCTGGAGTTCGAGACGGCCAACTTTCTACAGTGGCTAGTAAAAGCGGGAGCTTTGGAACAATCACAATATTTCACACCCAGACGCACTCAGAGTGGGAGAAGGTTGGCTTGATGGCTTTCATGAGCCGACACAGACCTCTACTCTGGTGCAGCCTTATGGGAGAAGGTTGGCTTGATGGCCTTCATGAGCCGACACAGACCTCTACTCTGCCTCCTACTGAATCACATCCATGTCAGCAGCTTCAAGCTTTACCTCCTTTAGCCTTGACCTGGATAGCCCAGGCTAGCCTGATCTCATCAGATCTTGGAAGCTAAGCAGGGCCGACCCTGGCAAGTACTTGGATGGGAGACCTCCTTGGAATACCAGGGCCAGGAGGCCAGAGCCAGGCTATCGGCCAGAGGCAGGCTATCAAGTCACTTCTCTGAATGTCCTCCATGTCCCAGTAAGGGTCACCAGAAGTTGCCACGACTTCCAGGTGCAGACGCCATTCTAAGATTTAAAGATTCATACCCTTTTCCCTTCCCCCACATACCATTTTTGGGGCACCGCAACACATATAACGCTTTCTTTAGAGCCTTGCCCCCCTGTGAAAGGAGATCCCAGCCTCACACCTGCTCAAATATTTTTGTAATAGCTCCAGATATATTTATAAGACAGTAGACTTCCAAGGAGATGGGGAGGTGATCTGCAGCCATGGTATGCTCGGTATGGACATGAAAACCAAGTAAAAAAAACTGGTAGGAGAGAGATGAAACCTAAATCTTAAATGGGAGAAGCAGTAAAATGTCCAGTATCCCCTGCCCCGGACCAGATTAAAGAACCAGTGAGCTCTATCCTGGGCCAGATTCTAGGGCCCAGCATGATACTATCCAGTAAAGACTATTATTTCCTCTGACAACATGCTGACTCTAGAAGTACCTGGAGGGCTGTCACAGAGGAAAGAGCAAAGACCCGTTCTCTGCTGCTCCATATTATATCTAAAGAGGTTAAGTTAGGGCAGATTTTAGCTGAACATTATGAGAAACTTCTGAATGTCTCTTGCCTTGAAAATCCTACAGCACGGGTATCTGCCCAGCGTTGCACCACTGGCTCTCCAGTACACCCATGGGGGTTTTCCTCTGCACCCTCTCCTCCCAGCCCATGGGGACTTGCAGTGAGGATACACCAACTTGGAGCTTACCAGCTGTTGTCCTTTATAAAGTTTATATCTCCGGATCTGGCATTTGTTTTATGGCACACAAGTCCTGGCCCGACAAAGTGACATTTAAGTCAGATCCGGCCCTTGTAGCAAATGAGTTCAACATCTCTGCCCTACAGAGTTACCATAAATCGGCTGCATCTTTACAGCACTTTCCACCACCAATGGTATGCCCATTACGTGAATGACCTTGGGGAACCCGTGAACTTGCACAACCCTTCCCCCTCTTGCATGCTGGAAGACTGCCAGATTCGCCTCAAGTCATAGTTTGTTATGAACCACAAAAAATACAGTTTTAATCCTCCTGTACAGACCAAGCCTGGAAGGCAAGAGTGCAAACAGAAGTCTGTGATTCAGACACAATGGCAAATTATGATTTGCCATGAATCTATAAGTCTTTCACAAAGAAGCAGTACACGAGGGGAGCAGCTTGTGGTCTTTCAGGCCCACAGTCTATCTGGAATGACGACAGACGATTCAGTCTTCATGGGGACTATGGAAATAATGATTTAATTTTCCTTTCAGCCATGAATTCAGACATCCTCTTAACCAAATTAGAATAAGAAGCACACTTCATTCATGTGCCTGGGAAAGCTTACTTTTAGACTGTGGTTAGAGTAAGAATCTTCACTCTTAAAGCAGCCCCATAGCTCTGCATGTCACTGATCCAGGCACGCCTCTTCTGTGCTAGAAGCCAGCCTTGGCGCAGTGACTCATGCAGAGAAACAATGGGCAGTCTCTTCCAAGGGCATTCTACTATACTGCTGTACTGGCAGGAACTGAATGATTCAATCACAACTAATGTGAGAGTTAAACAGAACTATCTACTCTAAACAGGGCTTGATTCAAAAAGCAAGATCAGAGCACTAAATCACCTAGAGATGCATCAGGCACCTGACATAGGCCATTAATTCATTTATTTGTCATGGCTTTGAAGTCACTGGCTCTCCATTTGGAAAACAGAAGGATTTTCCCACTTGTGACAGCAAAATGGCCACCATATTCTCCACAACAGAAAACTTGCAGGTAACGATCACATATACCAGTCCTTCCTGAAGATTCATGTTGGGCAACAAAGCCTCCCTCCCAATAAAATAAATCAGCCATACAGAATGAGACTTCTCTCAAACCCATCACATTTCTTTCTTCCTTTCCAGATTTAACCTGAGTCCCAGTGGTCAGCCAAAACAGCAGAGCACTGCAACGTCCCAAAACTGCTCATACTTGAAAATCTGACAGGTCCATAATGGGAAGAGAGCCATAATAGTGTGGGGGAGGGATAGCCACCATCCACCTCTCTCTGTGGCCCAAACCTGACCTGCCAAGAGCATCACAAACGGAGACCCTTAACCCAACCAGAGGCATCTGTCTGAGCATATCCCTGATGTTCATCTCTTAAGTAACTATATAATTCAGTCCCAACTCTCTACACTTCTCTCCTTAACTACTTATTAACAAAAAAAAAATGCTATAACTTAGGGCTCAACAAATCCCAGGCGCCAGGTCACAAGGGGCCTAGAAATTTCATCGTACCACCCAGTATTTTCCGTAGTGATTTTAGTAGAGCTACACAGCTAACTTATTGTTTCACATAAGACTACATTTTGTTGTAAGACACAAAAAGGCACGTGCATGAAGTTATTGTCGTTGCTTGTTTCTATTTTAATTTCACACCCTTCAATGGTGGTAGATGAATTCTTTTCTTAACTAGTTGCTTTCTGTACTGAAACCAATATGCAATTAAATGGATCAATAATGAAATTATGGAGAAGTTAAGTTAGCGTTAGGGGTTAGGCGTGTTGCACTGATGGTAATGAAGAACTGTGATGAGCTTGGAATTAGATTTTATGGCATCAATAACTAGAAAAAAATGGCCACTAAAATACAAATCCCTGAAAGCTGATGAATGAGTCTAACGCTTAAATTTTTGAGTTGACTCCTTACAGCCAAAGAAAATTTCCCAAGGCCTGTGAGAACTATAATGAGGGATAACAAGCCCCCATACTCACCCTCTTTTTATGTATTCTCCCTTACTGATTGTATCTGGCTCAATGCAAATATTCATGAAGTCTTCAGTGCGCTGAAAACAATTTTTAGAAAGAGAATAAATCAATACTTATATCCACACTGTCTCATTTGCCTTTCAAAGGAATATTTACATGACCAACCTTGTGCCTCTGAACAACAACAAAGATCAGTTTATACCATTCCCAGGGAAAAATAATATTTGCTGACAATAGAGCTATAAAGAGAATGGTTCCTGTGTGTGCTTTAAATGGATACTGTCATGTTAAAGTCTATACACCAAGCACATTCTCACTTGCACACACAAATCCCTTATCACTATCTCTGTATACCAAAGACTAACTCAGAAGATTAATATTAACACTCATGCTGCCTTTTTACACTCCCATTCCACAGTGAAAGCAATCAGAAGACACCAGCCCTTTATGAACCATAACAAAGCCCTCACAAGCAAGAACGCCATTAAAACCTTTAACCAATAATCTTATTTTGGAGAAAACACAGAATGTTGAAGAAGAATTTATTATGTCTTTCAAACCCCAGCACCGTGCAATACCTCTGATGAAAAGTGACCAAAATAACCACACAGCATGCAAGATTTTGAATTCTCTGGAACTCTTTCATCAGAAAAAGGGGGGGGGGAGAGATCGTCTAAGGCCAGCTGACTTCAGTGGGAGCAGGGTGCAGCTAGTATCAAATTATCAAGTTACCCCCATTGTGTTTTGAGAAAGATTGTGTGACAGGCTCGCTCTTGAAACTGAGGGGACCAGCACTGTCTCTCTGATGAATCTGGAGAACCTGCTTGATTTTGTGGTATAAGCCTTCCCTTCACTCAACAATATTCTCAGGGTAGCAAGTGTAAAGGCTTTGGGTCATTGCTGTGAGGGGAGTTTTGTACAGAGATCACTGAAACAGGGGGTTTAATAAAGCAGTCATGAAGATTTATTTATGTACAGGTTATGTGGTGAATTCTCTTTAAAGCTTGAAGTTACCAGGTCAGCTCATAACCACAGACAGGCCTCACAACTCCATTGCCTTCCAGAAGTAGAGTTAAACCACTCTGCCACACTACCAGGCAGAGCTGCGCATGAAACTGTCTGCTCATTTGCTGAGACAATTCTCTCCTTCAGGCAGCCCTCAATTACCAGCTCCTGTTCGGTGACAGCCAATTCGGTGTAGTGGTTAGGAACACGGACTCTAATCTGGGAGAAGCGGGTTTGATTCTCCACTCCTCCATATGCAACTGCTGGTGTGAACTTGGGTCAGTTACAAGTTTTTTCAGAGCTGTTCCCTCACGAGCAGGTCTTGAAAGAGCTCTCTCAGCCCCACCTACCTCACGGGGTGCCTGTTGTGGGGAGGGGAAGGGAAAGGAGTTTGTAAGCCGCTCTGAGACACCTTTGGGTAGTGAAGGGCGGGGTATAAACCCCTCCTCTTCCTCCTCCCCCTTCTTCGTTTTGGGTGCCCCCCCCCAGCCCTCCATCCCCCTGCTGAAAGGAGACTGGATGCTGGAGCAGCACCTCCATACACTCAGGTGTGAAAACAGCAGAGCAGCTATTCTACTTCTCAGGGTGGGACAGCCTTCTGCCCCTCTTAGAGGGCCTTAAGACCATGGTGTAGAAGATATTTTTCTCCCTCCAACCGCCGTATATATTTTTTGCATGCGTTTTGAACACCTAACCTGATGAAAAGTCCAAACCTTGCACACTTTGTTGTGTTATTTGGCTATTTGAGAAAGAATATTTACATGGCTATTTACATTTGCTATTTAGATTTTGCCATGGACCAAAGCAGCCACCTACATCTTTTGTCTATATCTCTCACCCATTCCTTAAGTCAAAGAGGGACAAGTGAGTAGGGACAGAGCACAGGGCTTAAAACACCGAGCTGAAGAAGTGTCATGGGCAGGCTTATGTCAGGAAACTAGCGGGGAACCTACTGGGGAAAGTCCAGAATCTGACCAAGGTTAAACATGGGGAAATCTAGATTAGACTACTCTAGTATGTTCTAAGCGGGACTGCCCACCAAAAACATCCAGACGCTACAACTAGCACAGAATGTGGCTGCGAAAGTTTTTCTTACAGGGCATGAAAAGGAAAAGGAGCTGCGTAGGACACCAAAGCCCCTTCTGCCAGACAGTAACCATTTTATTCAGCCACCTCTTTGGCTTCCAATAAGCATCAGATAGTCTCCTCGCTCTTTGTAAGTACATTTCTGTAACCATCAAGAGCAGGACTTTGCTTTTGAAAGAAAGAAAGCTGCTTAGTCAAATCCTTAAAGTCTTCTTTTATGATTCCTGAAAAAGGACATATTCTTTACAGTTCAAGTTAAGTTTCTCCAAAGTTTATATAAATGAAAAAAGACCAAGATTTAAGATGAACACTGTTTTGTAACAGCTATTATATAAGCCTGATGGGAACTTTTTCCTATATGTCTTATCCCATTCCCCTTGTCCTCCCCTTCCTAAATGTCCTCTATAGTCGGGAAAATCAAATAAAAATTAAAAAGGAAGTCAAAGAATTTCAAGAAGTTTAATTCTGCGCTTAAGCATGCGCTGCCTTGTCTCATGGAATAGCAAAACACACTCAGATACTAGAGGACAAAACATGCCCATCAAGTAAAAACAGCATGTGCCCCACCCTGGCTCAGATTCTGAAATGCCCACAACTGTTACCCAGTGCATTTTAAAGAGAAACACACAAGCACACACATTGTTGTCATCAGGGGTCATTTCTTGCAGGAGCGCAACTCCGGCAGTAAAGAGCCCAGGGGGCGGGCACATGCAACAAGCCCCACCCCCTGCTCCCAGCAGCCCTCAGTCAGAGCAAGAAGCAGCTAGGTAAGTTGCAGAGCCCCCCCGGCCCAAAATAGTCCAGTGGCACCTTTAAAACCAAGTTTTATTCAGGTACAAGCAGATCTGCACATCCCCCCCCCAATAGCTAGCAGTCCAGTCCAGTGGAGCCTGAGCGGTGGGTGTTGCCTTCTCCCACACTTCCGGTGATGTCAGGGGGTGTGGCATATGCAAATACATTATGCCAATGAGTTATGCTAATGAGCTCCTGCACCTCTTTTTCTATGAAATGACCCCTGGTTGTCATCTTCATTCAAGGCCAGAGGTACCAGGCCTCAGATATTTACAGCATGCCTGACAGAAGACATTTCTTCTTGGCCCAACAGTTAACCTCCCTCCCCCTCCAGTAAGACTGAAGGAAAGTTCTAAAAAGCAGCTGAATGGGGAAGAAAGGTTAGGGGTTCTTATATATCTGTGCTCTTACTTTCAGGTCAAGGCATCTGTTCTGAGTGGTGATGGAGAATTCAATCGCAGACAGCTGTGTGTCTTCCCAGGCCTCAGGGGTCACCTCCTTGGGGATTTCTAAGGCCCAAGAGGGAAGATATCATGAAGCAGAAAGTGACAACAAGGCAATTTTATGTTCACGCTAGCAAAGGTCAAGATAATTCTCTTTTAAAGCTACCCCACAAGGCCCATCTTTAATGCTCAGGGATACAAGAAAGCAAGGCAGATGGGTGGTGGAAAGTGGCCATCCAGTCACAGCTGACTTCTGGCTACCTCCTGCGGTTTTCAAGGCAAGAGACGTTCAGAGGTGGTTTGCCATTGCCTGTCTCTGTGTCACAACCCTGGACTTCCTTGGTTGTCTCCCATCCAAACACTGATCAGGGATGACCCTGCTTAGCTTTTGAGATCTCATGAGACTGAGCTAGCCTGGCCTACCCAGGTCAGGGCGTTATGAATATACCTGAGGTGATTACAAAAACACTTGACGTTTCTGTGAGAAGAGTGGACTGGCCTGGGCCATTCCTAGCCACAAAGCAGAGTAACTCACAGGGTTCACTGAAGTAGCTGATGGATCTCACAAGATCACATTTTACAGGCACAGTGAGAAGAAAGTGCTCTTCTAACGGGGAGGATCTCCGCACATCTCCTTACCTTTTACGGTCGGTGCCCAGTATTGTGCGAGCCTCTTGTAAAGCCTGATATATAAAGGGGGTCTCCCAGTCTTCTGTTCTGGCTCTTCTGGAGGCCTTGGAGTTGGGCCCAAATAGGCGAGGGAGGCTGGATGCTTCTGAGGCCAGCCCTGGATGTTTGACCAGGAAAAGAAAACAAAATACTCGGCTCAGCTTAGACATTAAGTGGGAGATGGAGGCCTAAGAATGATGGCTGCAATGCAGAGGCCATCATTTACAGGGCAGAACCACTGGACAGAGGAAGGGGGTCCTTAGCTTTCCCACTCATGGCAACTTCTTCCCTCCCCAGCTCCTTCTCCCCCCCCCCCATCACACAGCAAAGCACTTGTTTGGGAACCTTAGGGAAGGGGAAAGCTTTGGGGGGAGGAAGCTGCTGGGGGGGGATGGTGGTCAGCAGAAGGGTTAGGATTACTCCCACTTCTGTCAGTGGTGGCAGCAACTGGGTTTCGAAGACCTACCAAATGTCTAGCTGGGGGGGGGGAGATGAGGAGGAGGAGGAGGAGATTGGATTTATACCCTGCCCTTCACTGCCCAAAGGAGTCTCAGAGCAGCTTACAGTCTCCTTCCCTTCCTCTCCCCACAACAGGCACCCTGTGAGGTAGGTGGGGCCGAGAGAGCTCTCTCAAGAACTGCCCTTGAGAGAACAGCTCTGAAAGAATTTATGACTGACCCAAGGTCACACCAGCAGCTGCATGTAGAGGAGGAGTGGGGAACTCTGAGCTGGGGTCTGCAAGCAGGCATTCATTTTTGACCATGCGGTTGGCCTGGATATCTGAAAGGAGCCTGAAGGTAATGGAAACTTGTTAGAGATCTAGAACTCCTAAACTAAAAAATCCTGTCCTATTTTGAAACCTGGTAGGAGGGCCTGACTGAACAACAACAACAACAAGGGCATGTATAGAAAATGGACAGAGGATTTGTGTCTTTGACCAATTTCTTTTGATCCCCTTGCTCAAATGTTGTGATAAAAGTATGTTTGTTAACATTTTCTTTTTAATAAGTATTGTAAACTGTTGATGCGAGGAGCGGTTCTCTGTACCACATTGACCCCCCAACCATTTAAGACACACTATTTTAAAAATGCCAGCCTGGATGATTCAGAAGCCGGAATTAAGATTGCTGGAGAAAAACATCAACAACCTCGGATATGCAGACGATACCACTCTAATGGCAGAAAGTGAAGAGGACCTAAAGAGCCTCAAACGTAACATTTTAAAAGCGACCCACCCCCTCCCCCCGTGGGAAAAGCGGAGCGCAAAGAGGGCCGCCTCTTATGCGAACGGACAAATAAGCGTAACGAAGGGGGCAGGGGGGGAAATAAACAGCGAGACTTACTTGAGCGCTGACAGTGAGGTGATGATTTTTCGAGTCCGTGAGAAGCGATTTGGAATTATAAACAATCGTATAAAATGGCGGCCTCGCAAAGAGAGTTTAAAGCGAAACCAGTGGGAGACTCTGGACTTCTTGGTCTAATAAAGTCTGTCGTTAAGTGATTGATGCTGCAGCTTTTCAGTGGAAGGTTAGGAGGTATATTATCCGTTTGGGGAATCAGAAGAGAGGTGTGAAGGGTGGGGGGGAAATGTGGCCCCTTTAACATATGTCAAATCCTTCAGTACTTGAGAACTTTAAAACTAGAGCAATTAACCTTTCTGCTCATTTTGTGACAGAAGGCAGGCTGACTGGAAGAGGCAGATAATCAACAGTCCTGTAGGCTCTATTTATAGGCGCTGCTTACGTCAATTGAATAAATCTCAGGACACGGCATTAGCATAACAAAACCACAAGAGAGTGCTGCTCCGGAGGAAGGCAGCGGAGCCGCTTCTGATGGGTCTCCGCTGCACGCTGCATCTCTTCGCCCTGCTGCTACGTTCTAGCAGCTTCTGGCATTGCAATCCTTTTTCGGCTCCAATCCAGGACGATGCACTAGAAGCTGTACTGCTTCTGCCGCCTGTCTGTCAAATGACAGTCGATGCTAAACGGGCTTCAAATCAGCCCAGTGCTGAGGACCAGTTTTGGGAAGGGTTAGGCCTACACTCCCTTCTGCAAACAATACAAATTGCAGCACAGGTTCAACGTGACAGAAGCACATGACACTGCTCTGTATCAAGGCAGGTCATTGGTCCCTGTAGCTCAGAATCATCTCTACTGATAGGTAGTGGCCCTCCAAAGTAAGACAACCCTAATTAGTGGAAATGTGAGGGCTGAACCTGTGACCTCAGGCAGGCACAGTATTGCATACATGGCAATTCACCTTTTTCCCAACACCACTACATCAAAGCAACTGACACTGAAGCACTTTTACCTTTAATGTATTGAAAAAGTGGGCTGCTTTAGTTTTCAGAGGCCCAAGGTACCAGTACCTGGAAAAGGGGGGGAGAAAACATAAATTCTTGATGCAATTTTTACTAAAGCTGTATCTTGCAGCCTCATCTTTGCACTGGGTTGAGAAGGGAGAGTGTGGGAAAGATCCACCTCTGTAAGTGCCTTCCACAGACACAGCAGAGGATCTATGACAGGGAACGAGAACTATACATTACAAAACCCACATGAAATAGTTTTATGGTGGCCATTCCTTGCAGTGCCTGTAACACATGGAGTAAGGTCATCTACTTCTGTATAAACCTATGTGGTCACTATGGTCATCTTCGGGGGGGGGCTGCTTCAAGAGTCCCTGCCATCCACAGATAAATGAGTGGCGACACAAGAAAGAGCCTTTTTGGTTGTGGCACCAAAATTCTGGAATTTTGGCCTGTCTCTTCTTATCATTGCCTTCTGCCAGTAGGTGAAGACTTTTTTCGATCATTTTGTCTGTTTTCCTTCACTGATTCTTACCGATGTGTCCATGTATTTATGCATTTTATTTTAATGGTTTTACATTTTTTAATGTATTGATGTGTGTTTTTAACCTTGCTTTAATGCCTTTCATTGTTTGCTGATGTAGGGACCCTATGCTGGGGGGAAAGATGGCTTAAAGACATTTGAAATAAACAAATCCCAACATAGATCACCTCCACTGTGTGGGTCATTTCCACATTACTGCCAAATGCATCTGGTGGAAATGTAGACCCTCTTCACAAGACAGGAGACATCAGCACTCTCCAACTGCAGAAGCAGTTTCAACTGTCTTCCATGCTAGTATACATAGACCAGAGAACTAATCCAGACTCTCAGCAACTTTGTTCACCTTGGGTCACCTTAGGAGGGAAAGAAAATCTATTCTGGGGTTCTCCACCCTTTGTGCACCTGTGGGCACCTTTGGAATTCTGACAAAGGACGGTGGGCACAATCACAAAATGGCTGCCGCAGTAGGTGGAGCCAGTCATAAAATGGCTGCTGCAGGAAGTGGCGCCAACCAGAAAACATCAGGAATCAAGATTATACTTAACTCTAACAGTAACTGTGAAACATTTCAGGCAGAAGCCATGTTTAACAGGATGCCTTTTTGTCTACACAGGCAGAAGGCCTGTTGGGCAAAGCCCCACCTAGCCCCCCCCTTTCTAAAGGCACTTGGTGAGTGCCAGGAAATGTTTGGGCAGGCGTCATGGCATCCATGGGCACCACAATGGGGACCCCTGATCTGTCCCATAGTGCCTCAAGGAGGACACTTTAACACAGTGGACCAGTTGGGGTTTTGCAGACCTACGCACAAGTCTGAGCTTAGGAAGCCCAAGCAGGGGAGAAGCACCTTCTTGCTGTGCCAAACCCAAGTCGGTGCCATTGGGGGGAAAATGTACAACGTATTGGTTTCTGTACTATCAGCCAACTCCTTCCAGACTTTAGAGAGCATCTCGTGCTAATCCTGACACAGTACAGAACCCCCCCCCAAGATATTGTTTGAGACAGAGACAGATGAGAATAGCAGCAAGTGCCAACACAGGAGCAAAAAAGAACACAGCAGGAAAGCAGTACTGAATGCCTTTACTTGCTGACTTTCGCCCCTGCATCTCTGTAAGCGCCCCATCGCAACCCCGTTACGGCAAACACAGGCTGGTCTTTGTCTCCCTGTACGGGGGTGGGGGTGGGGGGGGAAGAGAGAGCAAAATTTGATTGCAAGCAGTCCGTTAATTATACTAAATTCTGATCACTCCAGACACAACAGTCCTAAAAGGGGGCTGAATAAAACACCAACCGCTAAACGCCAGCTTACACTAATAGAAAGAACCGATTAATGCTTCGTTGAGTAGGCTTGAGTATACCTCTTCATCCACGGGCTGTGTTCGTGTGCATGTGTACAGATATCTGTGGCTGAAAACCAGGAATACAGAGTAGCACCCAGGGAAGTTTTTTACCTTCTTTCTTGCATGTCTCTGATTTAATCCAGAGCATGGCTGCTTGCAGCGTGGGAAGAAGAGGAGCCAAGACCTTTGAGCTATCCCCAATAGGACTTCCCAGAACAAGGTAGCAGGGCCAAGCCTAACATATGCCTAGAGAACAGAAGGCACGCGCTCCTGAACAACCCCTACCGGAAGCCCCAGCACTGCTGACAGGTACACAACCTTTATTCCGGATTGCCACCAAACTCGTCACCCAGTGAGATGGACTTCCTTTATGACAGCTAGTGATATAACCGTGTTCCGCCCTCACTTCCTCCTCCCTGGATTAGGGGCGCTTTCAAGAATTCTTTTAGAGGGCCATGGATTCTGTAGAAACACACTGGAGGTACAGCCACAATGGCATAAGTGTATGAACGAACCCCAACGTACCCCCCCCCCCCCCAATACAGGAAAAAAGGAGTAGCTAAGAAAATATCGCTACCTTTATCTGTAATACATCAACTGGGATAGTTTCTCCTTTCAAAATGGACAGCGTGGCATCAATGATGTGTCTGAGAAAGAAAAGCACGCAGCTCAGTGGCAGAGCACACACTTCATAGGCAAAAGGTCTTGTGTTCAAACACCAACATTATCAGGGGAGGAGGAGGGGGAGGAGGAGGAGGAGGAGGAGGAGGAGGAGAAGAGATTGGATTTATACCCCCCACCGTTCACTTGGAGTCTCAGAGCGGCTTACAATCTCCTTTCCCTTCCTCTCCCCACAGCAGATGCCCTGTGAGGTAGGTGAGCCTGAGAGAGCTCTTTCAAGAACTGCTCTTGAGAGAACAGCTCTGAGAGAACTGTGGCTTGCCCAAGGTCACCCAGCAGCTGCATGTGGAATCAAACCCGGTTCTCCCAGATTAGAGTCTGCGCTCCTGACCACTACACCAAACTGGCGTTCAGGCAGCTGGAATGGGAAAGGGCCCTGCTTGAGGCCCTGAAGCAAGCAATGATCGCACTGGGCTGAATGGACCCTTGGCCAGTGTGAGTGGAAAAACACCCCCTACACCCTGACCTGGATGGCCCAGGAGCGAAGCAGGGTCAACTTCTGCAGGCCGCCCGGAGGACTCCCCACCACCTCCCCTTCCCCAAGCACGGCTTGCTTCCCTGTGTTGGCAGGCAGAGTGTAAACGTCACAAAAGTGAGTATTTAAAATTTTTATTTTTTATTTTGTGACATCAGTGCCCCCCAACTTATTTAAAGGCCCCCCAAATTACTAAATCCTTGCTACGGACTTGCCTCTATTGGTCTCTTGCCTTGAAAGCCCTACAGGGTCACCATGTGTCGACTGTCACTTGATGGCACTTCACACAACACATCTATTCATACACACATCGCAGTTAGGGTTTAAATGTCCAACTCAACCTGTCCACACAAGGTAGGACACGTGAAGACTAATATAATAATAATAATTAAGTGCTGTCAGGGCTATTTTTGGGCAGGAACGCACAGGAACGGAGTTCCGGCTGGCTCCCGAGTTGGCCACGCCCAGCAGGAACTCATTAGCATAATAGGCCACACCCAACAGCAGGAACTCATTAGGATTGGCTACGTTAGGGGTGTGTGGCTTAACATGCAAAGGAGTTCCTACTACAAGAAAAGCCCTGGGTTTTGACAACAAACAGGGTAAACAGAATAAGAAGCAAAAGGTGGGTGTGGCTGGATGACTACACTTCTGGTAAGATGGGGTTGCGGCCTAATATGCTAATGAGCTGTGTTGTCAGGGGTGTGGCCTAATATGAGTTTCCGCTGTTGGGTGTGGTCTATTATGCTAATGAGTTCCTGCTGGACTTTTTCTACAAAAAGAGCCCTGAGTGCTGTCAAGTTGCAACTAACTATGGCGACTCCCCCCCCCCGCCACCAAGGCAAGAGATGAGCAGAGGTGGTTGACCATTGCCTCCCTCTGCATAGCAATCCTGGTCTTCCTTAGGTAATCCCCCAACCGAGTACTAACTGTGACCAACCCAGCTTAGCTTCCAACTAAACTAACTAAGCTTCCAACTAACTCTGACAAGCTCGGGCTAGTCTGGGCTATTCAGGCTTCGAAAGACCAACAGAGGGTACCTTAAAATAAAATTCCTATCAAAGAGCACCTCTTGTTCATCGTCAGCACCAATTTTATTTTGTGGAGCCAGGGTAGAAGAGGAGAAGAGAAGAGAAGAGAAGAGATTGGATTTATACCCCGCCGTTCACTTGGAGTCTCAGAGCAGCTTACAAACTCCTTTCCCTTCCCCTCCCCACAACAGACACCCTGTGAGGTGGGTGGGGCTGAGAGAGCTCTGACACAAACTGCTCTTTTTCAAGGACAGCTGTGCCAGAGCTTGTGACTGACCCAAGGTCACATCAGCAGGTGCAAGTGGAGGAGTGGGGAATCAAACCCGGTTCTCCCAGATTAGAGTCCGCACACTTAACCACTACACCAAACTGGGTACCACTGTGTCTGGATGTAGTTCAAGCATGAGGCTGGGCAAAGCCCAACGGAAGGTCTTTTTCAGACTGGACTACTGCACACATGCTTGATGAAGCGGTCTCTAATCCACAAAAGTTTGTGAGGATGGGGGGAAGGCGACCTTTTTCGGTGGTGGAAAAACAATGTGGTGCCTATCTGTGAAACCGCTGGTGAGCTGGCTGACAAAAGGCTGGTGCTGGAGGAGTTACGCTTTGTTCGAGATGCCTGAAGCAAGTCAAGTCCCAGAGGCACTGCCAGCATCTCACAGATTCGCCTTGGACTCGGAGGGTGGCTGGGCTGTCTGGGAGGGGATGATGGGCACCAGCCACGCCTACTGGCTTCCCCCGCACCGCTGGACAACACCGTGGCGCCAGTGCTCTGGCTGCCTGGGCGGAGACGTGGCCCTGAGCACCAAGCAAAAGAGCCTGGCGTGCGAATGTCAGAGGAAAAGACGCTTGAACGTTACTAAATTCGGGTTGCTGCATTGTCATTTTCCTTTTGCACGATTCTTTTGCGGCTGCGAGTGGATTCTTTTTGTCCGCACAGAGGACTTGCTTGCTCACAGTAACTCCTTCCTGTTCTGTTTGTCAGAAACTTTGCTGGGATCCTTTGTACGTAGTTTTCGTCCAGGCCAACTGGCACAACATCTCTCACTGGGAACTCAGACAGATTAATACTGCTCCTGTGAGACGCTAACTGCTCTAATACTGGCCAGCTTGACACAGCTGGTATCCATTTAAAAAGGGGCAACCTTAATTTTAAGACTCCATTTAGCTGGTCTTTTTTTTAAAAAAAAGATGTATTCCTTTGCCATGCAGGCCACATTGTCCAGGACCCAATCCCATAATAGTGGAAATTTCCAAAAAACCCAGCTGGGAGAAAAATGCAAAATTATATCCATTCTGGATTTGTCAACCCAGCAGGAGATGGCAGATCCACTTGGGAGTCCAACAAGCGATCACACAGTGAACAATACCTAATGATAGGGTGTAAGGAATGTGCTTTATTATCTTTCATAATAAGATATCATGGCCCCGGTCACACGGGCCGGATATCGCGGGGGGGGAGGCGTGGCTGTTTGCCCCGGAGCGAACTACCGTGCGGCAGCCGGATCAAACGTCCCGCCCGAAGTCCCGCCAACGTCCCGTGGTTGGGGGGAGGTGCCGATCATACCTCATTCCTGCGGTGCGGCAAAGAAGCAGCGCCGCGGGGGTTGTGTTGTTTTTTTTAACCCAAGTGTTCGCATGCGCCGTTGGGTGCTTGTGCGCACCCGTGGAGACTTGACAAAAACAAAAATCTTTGCGCGACGGGACATGGGCGGGTGCCGGATGCCACGAGCTAACACCGGAAACGTGATCTGATGCCCCCCCTGCCCTGCGGTTTCCGGAAACGAGTACCTCGGAGGTATTAGTTTTTTACAGCGCATCTTCAGAGTGAAGCCTCGGGTGAGCCACGGGAGCGCTACGCTTCCCAGATGTGGCGGTGAGATCGCGCCTGGAAAATCCGCCTATCTTCCGTCTCTCTAGCGTGCCTAATGCTCCGTGTGACCGGGGCCATATTTAGTATTCCAACAGGTAGCATACAATGTCTTCCAACAGGTAAGCTTATGATGTACTCTGATCAGGCAATAGGAGTATACCTTTATTTCTCCCTTAGAGAATGGTATGCTTTGTGAGACTTCTTAACATTTTTGTCTATGTTTAGTCTCTACTGAGGAAGAATACATGAAAAGAAGTTTTGAAATCCAGAGTCTTTGTCTTGTATACTTACCTGTTGGAAGACCAGAAATACATTGTATGTTACCTGTCACAGACTCGCTCTGCACTTGTACTGTAGATTCACTTGGGATACATAACAGTGTTTCTATCCACCATCCACATCCGCTTCCTCCTCCCTTTCTGCTAACTTATTAATTTCATTTACACTCCCCTTCTCTCCCCAATGGGGACCCAAAGCAGCTTACGTGGTTTGCCTCGCCTACATTTTAGCCTCACAACAACCCCATGAGGTAGGACAGGTTGAGAATGTGCAACTGTGCCCAAGGCCACCCAGAAAGATTCCACGGGAGAAAGTAGATTCGAACCTGGGTCTTCCAGCTCCCGGTCCAACACTCTAACCAATAGACAGGCTCACCATGCTGCTAACCAGCTCACGCAGCTTCCAGCATGGCACACAAACTTACTGGACTTGGCTTACACTCTCCGGATAAAGTGTGTGACTCAAGGTGCTGCTTTTCCCAAGGGGAATGAATCCTATAGGGATCTTACTGAAAGCTGCCTGAAAAGGAATACAGAGAAAAGAAACGGCGTCAGCATCAGCGGAACGAGGCTTCCTTTTTGCAGAGCGCAGCTGTGCCTGAGATCACACACACACCCCTCCCACCAAGCCCTCCTTGGCATGTAGGGACAGGCGCTTCCTCAGAGGCCGTAATGAATAATGACTCGGAGCAGCAGACTCTTCGGCCAAAGTGCCAAGTGGCCACAAAGCAGCCTTCTGTTGTCATTAGGTTCATGGTTACAAGCACAGAGGCTGGCACATCCTTCCCAAACAATGTGTGGATTCTGTCCCCGACCTGCCACCTTCCGAACAGCGGAAATCATCCAAAGCATGGCTGCTGCGCTCAACCCGAGTTTATCTCCAAGCAAAAAAGCGCACGATGCAGGAATAAATAACTCTAATCGCCCTTCCTTTAACAAGGCAACAAGGACATGCAAAAAACAACCCTGTAAATCGCTATTTGGTACCAATTAAATGACCATTTATCAAACATACAGATTTACGATGTTTTCATCTTTGGGTCTGCAACAAGTCTCCGAGTCTGGGGAACAGGTTCCAGGGGGTCTGAACCAGAGCTTTGTATTTCTCTGAAGATGCCGCCTGCCACCAGCCGTTGGCTGGGAATTGGTCTCCATCCCCCTCCCCCTGGGCGCAATAGAGGCCACCTTGCGGGAACGCCCATCCCCGCCCAGAGGGCTCCTCAAAATGAGTCAGCAAATCACTTTCAATGATTTTGTAACACCCTGACTTTCTTCAGGCTACTGCAGCCTACAATACTGTGACTCAGCAAATCCAGGTCTCTGTAGCTTTCTATCACTTCTTGCCCATTTCAGTTCGATTTATCAATCATGCAGGGTCTCCTTTCCTTATCTCACTTTCTCTTCTGTCCCCTTATACTGCACAACAGAAGACCTTTTGTTTATTGTTGGATTTACTTCATTTATACCCCACCTATCTTCCACAATGGGCAACCAAAAGCAGCATACGTTATTCTCCTCCCCATTTTTATCCCCACAACAGCCCTGCGAGGCAGGCTAGGCTGAATGTGTGTGACTGGGTCAAGGTCACCCAGCAAGATTCCATGGCAGAGCTGTAAATGTAATTGGAAAATTAATTGTTCACTGTTTGAAGTGTTAGAATTGTTAAAAATTGAAAAAATAAATTATAAAAAAAAAACACGGATCTCCCAGATCCTGATCTGACATTCTGGCTCTCTGTAGAACTCTATAAACACACAAGCACCAACTGTGTCACAGGAACATTCCGATTATCCGTTCAGTAACTACAGTCCATCAAAGGAGTTAAGCCCCGCCCTTCACTCAGAGTCTCAGAGTGGCTTACAAACTTCCCCTCCCCACAACAGACAGCCTGTGAGGCTGAGAGAGCTCTTTCGAGAACTGCTCTTTCAAGGACAGCTCTGACAGAACTATGGCTTGCCCAAGGTCATCCAGCAGCTGCAAGTGGAGGAGTGGAGAATCAAACCCGGTTCTCCCAGATTAGAGTCCAAACACTTAACCACTACACCAAACTGGCAGTACACCAAACATTTGCGGAGGGGCTGTGCCTCAGTGGCAGAGTGTCTTCTTGGCATGCAGAAGGTCCCAGGTTTAGTCCCTGGCATCTCCAGTTAAAAGGATCGGGTAGATTCAGGTGGGTAGCCATGTTGGTCGGAAGCAGCAGAACAAAGTTTGAGTCAAGTGGCACCTTTGAGTTTTATTCAAAGTGTATTCAAAGGATCAGGTAGTAGGTGATGTGAAAGACCTGCTGCCAATCAGAATACTTATTTATTTATTAGGTTTCTATACTGCCCTTCCCACAAGCAGGCTCAGGGTGGTTCACATCAAAGATATAAAACACATTAAATCTATTAAATTATTTAAAATATAGTTCTAAAACCTAATAAAGAGACCCAGTTTGGTGTAGTGGCTAAGTGCGCGGACTCTAATCTGGGAGAACCGGGTTTGATTCCCCACTCCTCCACTTGCACCTGGCTGGATGACCTTTGGCAAGCCATAGTTCTGATAAGAGCTGTCCTTGAAAAAGAGCAGTTTCTGTCAAGAGCTCTCTCAGCCCTACCTACCTCACAGGGGTGTCTGTTGTCGGTAGGGGAAGGGAAAGGAGTTTGTAAGCCGCTCTGAGAGACCTTTGGGTAGTGAAGGGCGGGGTATAAATCCAATCTCTTCTCTTCTTCTTCTAATAACCATATGGCACCATCATACAGCCGCCCTGAGCCCCACGGGGAAGGGCGGGGTATAAATCTAATAATAAATAAAAATAAATAAATAAATACAGCTCTGGCCCCCCAATTTACATTAGCAATGGGGGGGAGGAGGGGTGGGAGCAGATTCTGAATCAAATGGTTCTCAAGAACTATTAAACTATCAAGAAACCATTGTTGCTAAAAACCATTCTTAAAAACCACTGCTGTCCTCAACCGTACTCTTGACAGAGCATCTCAGCCTTGCAGGCCCCGCGGAACTGTAGCAGATCCCGCAGGGCCCTGATGTGAACTGGCTGAGAGTTCCACCAAGTCAAAGCCAGGGCTGAAAAGGCCCTGGCTCTGGTTGAGGACAGCCGGACACTCTTTGGGCCAGGGACATCCAACAGATGTTGGTCACTTGAGTGTAATGCTCTCCAGGGAACATACCAGGAGAGGTGGTCTCGTGAGTATGTTGGTCCCTGACTGTTTAGGGCCGTAAACGTCAAGACCAAAACCTTGAACCTGACCTGGTACTCAACGTGGAACCAGTGCAGCTGGCGAAGCACAGGTTGTTTATGTGCAGTTATCGATGTCCCCGGGAGGACCTGGGCCGCTGCATTCTGGACAAGCTGTAACTTCTGGATCAGCCTTAAGTCCAGCCCAGCATAGAGTGAATTACAGTAATCAAGTCTAGAGGTAACTGTTGTGTGGTGTGGATTACTGTGGCTAGGTTGGGGCACAGACAATATTGACCTGGATAGACCAATAAGAATAGCCATTATCGACCTGGATAGACTGTGGCTCAGTGGAAGAGTGTCTGCTTGGCATGCAGAAGGTCCCAGGTTCAATCCCTGGCATCTTCAGTTAAAAGGATTGGGTAGTTGGTGATGTGAAAGACCCCTACTTGAGACGTTGAAGAGCTGCTGCCAATTAGACGAGACAATATTGACCTGGATAGGCCAAAATTCAGCATAAGGCCCTTTCATTATTTATTTATTTATTTTTCATATTTGTATCCCGCCCTCCCCGATGGGCTCAGGGCGGCTCACAAGGGCAAGGTACATCCATGCCATGATTAAAACATATAATACATAATAAAAACATCCAACATCATTAAAAACAACGGTGCTCAGTCAGTTATTCATGTGTTTAAATGCTGCTGGCATATCACTGATGCCCGTATCCCCTTTTGGTCATAGATTTTCAAGTGCAGTTGGATAGTAAGACGGGAGGGGCACTGCAGACTGTACTGCGTTACACTCAGTGGATCAAAACCTGCTGGTGATCCCCAGCCCAAAAAACATCTACTTAGCCTCAGCCAGAGCCTTTTCAGCTCTGGCACTAGCCTTGTGGCACACTCTCCGAGTGAGATCCAGGCCCGGCGGGACCTAATGCAGTTCCGCATGGCCTGTAAAACTGAGCTGTCCCACCAAGCTCATGGCTGAGGCGGTGGACATTCCATCAGGATTGGCCTCCCCCTGCTCTGTGCATAGGTCCACCAGCTATATATTATCATTCCAGCATCCACGGACACACATGATGCATCATTTCTATTGAGATGTATTGCTTGCCATCTGACCAGTTTTGATTGTGTTATCACTTGGGGTGTAATTGTTTAATGATTACTTTATATTTATCGTTTTAATGTTGTCCCACTACTGATGTTACCTGCCCCAAGCCCTGCTATGCAGGAAAGGGTGGGCTACAAATTGAATATAATAAATAAATAAATAAATACTGGGCTGCAATGTTCTTAATTATGCAAGGTGCAATAGACACCAAAAAAAAAAAAAATGGAGCACCTGATCATAGGCTCTATGACCTCAGCTATCAGTCACGGGTGGTTACCGAACAAAAGCAAGCTGAATGGGTGACAAAATATATATCCGTCTCCCCTACTACCAACGCACTATCATGGAAACCAAAGGGCAGCATCAAGAGACATCATGCTAATTTTGGAAAGGGAAGGGGAAGGAGACAGCATGGGGCCAAGTGCAGGTCTTTCCTTCTACTGGTTCTGAAGGGACATCACAGCCAAAGGACAGAAGAGGGGTGTGCAAGTGTGTGGAGACAATCTGGCTCAGAATGCCAAAGAATCCATGGATCTGCCCTGACGTCGCTGGATCTCCTTCATGCTTCCAAAATGACCTGGTAGCAAGAGTGTCTCCAGAAAGCAGCGTGGGTAAGTGGTTGCTTGTGCCCCAAGCCTGCCGTTGAGGTTCACTGAGAAGGCTGATGAAAGCTGGGGGCAGGTGGGCTCCAAACAGAAATAACGTCTTTATTTTCCTCCTGGATTCAGCTACCAGTTGAAGGGTCTGGAACGGAGGATGGCAGAGCCACTTTCTGTTTCCCCCACCAAGGGTTGTGCTTTCCAAAACGCATTTTGCACACAGCTTGACTAGCAGCAGGAGTCACTGGGCACGGGGTTCTCGGGCGTCCTCTCGGACTGCTTTATTCCTTGCCAGTTAAGGTGCCCCCTATTCCTTGGCTGGTGTGTGAGCGTGTGTGCGTGAGATCAAAATCCTGAAGCTGGCCTTATCCCACAGAAGCAAGGGTAACACACTTTACAGTGTCGCTGACCTACAGCTGCTATCCAAAGAGCCCAACGCTGGACCCTGAGGGAGAGAAATGGAAGGAGGCAGGCAACTCTGCTGCTGTGGTAACCCAGCTAGGGACAGCAGTAGAAATGTATTCAGCTAAAGCAGAGACCGAGCCAGAACTGAAGAGGTCAGGCTGCAAACCGCTACAGCTCTTGCTCATTTCCAGTTCACGCCAAAGTTACTGCATGGGGGGGAGGGGGCCCACGGAGGAGTCTGCAGAATGGGCTCCATTCAACAGCGCTGCTGTCACAGCATGTTATTCCTTTTTTCCCAGCCTCCTTTCAACTACAGAGGTTCTGAAGGCTTAAAATGTTCAGACAGAAATGTGATTTCTTTACACTGGTGCCGAAACACAATTTTGTCTTTCCGTAAGAAGGCAAAGTCGTTCTGTACAGCAAAGCACAATTCTGGCCACTAACAGCCTCCTCAGATCTTTGAAATGAATCATTAAATTGCCTTTTTTTTTTTTGTTGCCAGTTTCCGATAAGACGTTTTGGAACACAGTTCCATTTAGACAAGCGGCCCTTGTATACTTGATGAAACGCGTCCCCGGCAGCGCATATATTAAACGCTCAAAAAGTTTGCTTAAGGGAGGGAATGTGCACACGGCCCAAATGGGTGCCATTTTATGTCTATGCAAATACGGGGGGGGAGGTAGGGAGGAGGTTTATATTACTCACTTGGCAGAGCTGGATGAACAGCTATGGCATTGCTGTCCACAGACCATTCGCATTTAGATACCCTGCCGAGTATATCGGGAATTCGCAAAAATCAGAATATGAAACAGCTAGATGAGTCCAGTAGCACCTTAGAGATTTTGGAGGGGTTAAACTTTCAATGATATGGTTAGACAGTGTCATAGATTCAACGGACATGAAATTGAGCCAACTTCAGAGGATGGCGGAAGACAGGAGGGCCTGGCGTGATCTGGTCCATGGGGTCGCAAAGAGTCGGACTCGACTGTGCGACTGAACAACAAAAAACTTTCAAAAATTAAAGCTCCCTTCACTAGATACCTTTGACTCTCAAAAGCTCATATCCCCCAACATCTTGATGGTTTCTAAGGTGCCACTGGCCTTGAATACAGCTGCTCGACTGCAGCTACTCTCTGACGCTGGAATGGGAAACAGACTCCGTGGCAGAGGTGATGAACTCGTATCTGGGCTGTACCACCGCGAACTGTGCTTAGGAGTTCTCGTGATGGTATGCTTCTTCATACGGGTCTGCCATGGAAGCTTGCTGGGCGACTTTGGGTCAGTCCATACCCTCTCCGCCTAAGCTCCCTCACGGGGTGGTTTGTGAGGCTAAAACGGAGGGGCGGAGAATTATGTCAACCGCTTTGGGCCCCCTCCCACTGGGGAGAAAGGCAGGACATGGATAAACTAAACAAATAAATACAAAAATTCCCCCGCTCGTAGAACACAAGACTGGAGCCCTTCTCCCTGAAGCTTTGTTACAAGAAGGGATTATTTTTGGAAGGAGCACCATTCAGTCATATGATCTTCCATTTAGAAGGCAGCAGAAAGGGGAGAAGAAAAAACAAAAACAACTTACCTCATCTGCCCTTCGGAGAAGTCCAGTTATTACCTGGGGGGGAAAGACCCAGAAAACTTGAGATAGGATTCACTCCTAAAGCAACCAGGCTTTAATATGAAGTACGCTATTTTCACTTTTGCATTAGATTGCCTACATCCAAGAGAAAGCCATTTAAGAGTTTCAGCTGTTATGGTGGGACTCCAGCTGAGAGGAATAAGGCTCTGGTTGTCAGGAAAGCTGCTAGGACAGGAGGGGAGCTGCCCTGCCAAAAGTCCCTCTCCCCACCCTCTTCCTCAAGGACCTCCCCTCCCAAGTAACTGCTGTCCAACCGGTCGAAAGACTGAGCTGCTACAGTTTAATCCACTGTAATATCACTCCCTGATCTGTCTCTCAGTCTATGGAAATCACACCATTTACACAGCAGAAGGCTTGACTATTGATATATTTGCTTTCTCAATAAAATAGAGCTTTACAAGCCATTCCCTCTTGATTTATGGCTTTTCATTTGTTTAGCTTTATAATACACAAGGAGATAAAGCATACAACCAATTGAACCTATCTATATTAATATCATATAAACTTTTGCAACAAGCTGAATATGAAAGAGTTTTCTACACAACACATGATCGGTCATAATCCGCCTGCATCTGTTCTGTAGCAAATATCATTTATACAAATGCTAGAACTTCTCATCTGACATTTTCATCTGTCTTAATCCTTTTTTTTACTAAACCACAAAAGGCTGTCAATTTAATATATTTGGTAAAACTTCTCTTTGTTTGCATAGATGTTTGTAAGTTATAATCCCTCAATATGGTAAACCAGAATTTCCTGAGAAGTGTCTACGATTGGTTAGGTTTTCTGCTTCTAATTCTCTGTCAACATTAGCCTTGCTGACAACAGCAAATTTTGTACAAGCATCTATGGTAAAAAAGGTATATTGCTTTTACAGCATACTCTTCTTCCACCATGAACAAAATGCAGCTTACACAGGGTTTCAGGAGACGTTCCATGCAAGGCTCAATGAGACTCTAATCTGGAGAACCAGGTTAGATTCCCCACTTCTCCACTTGAAACTAGTTGGGTAACCTTAGGCAAGTCACAGCACTCAGTCTAAAAAAAATAAGCATAGCTCGCCACCTAGTGGTGCCAAAAAGCTGCTGTGCACAACCCATTGTTGCCCCCCCCCCCCCCAGGAACTCCTGGTTATTCCACACACAACACCATACGGTAATTTCAATTTGAGACCCAGGCCAGCTTCAGCAAGGCTGCTGTATTATGTGTCCTCCAGTCATATCCTGGGGAGTCTTCCTTACAACACACAATGCAGCTTCCAGAGAACAGAATCAATAGGAAGAGGGAGCATCCCAGGAGAAAAGGCAAGGCTTGAAAGGGTGGTCTGTGCGTGTGTGAAAGAGTGGGTGCAACTACTGTTCAAGGCAAGTAAGGGCTACAGTACAAAGCGGAAACACTCCTTGCAAAGACAGGTGTAGTCTTTCGCCCAGGAAGATGCTCCGTACTATTAATAGGAAGCCAGGTATTGTGTGGATGTGCCTTTGGAAAACTGAACTTGCTGTGAACTCATTTCTAATGTTGTTTCTTAAACAAAACTCTGTTCCGAGTGGCAAAAAGTTGTTATGTTCAAGGAGAAGACATAGCAGGAATTACCGTTGAAAGCAAAATAGCTGGAGCTACAGTGAAAAGTAATCTGAAAACATACATTCCTAAACATTTCCCAAGCACAGAGACATGCCTTCTGCTGGTAACATGCAGGAGAGGGAATGTGACATCTGCTCAATTTTGAGAGAACGTTGTTACAGACAGCAGCATGGTTAAAAATCAGCACAGATAAAATGCAAGAGGGTTGAAAGGAATGAATTATGACAGGATCTCCCCGCAAACTCGCTTCCCATGCCTGAGACACTCTCTTTCCACAACGCACTGAAGCTATCTGCCCCATCCTCCAGCCAAATCTTTGAGATTATTAGCAAACATTCCTCCTCCCAGGGCTATTTGTGGGCAGGAACGCACAGGAACGGCGTTCCGGCTGGCTCCCAAGCTGGCCACGCCCAGCAGGAACTCATTAGCATAATAGGCCACACCCAACAGCAGAAACTCATTAGGATTGGCCACAATTAGGGGGTGTGGCCTAACATGCAAAGGAGTTCCTGCTCCAAACAAAAAGCCCTGGGTTTTGACAACAAACAAGATAAAGAGAATAAGAAGCAAAAGGTGGGTGTGGTTAGATGACCACACTTCTGGTAACATGGGGGTATGGCCCAATGTGCTAATGAGCTGTGCTGTCAGGGGTGTGGCCCAATATGCTAATGAGCTCCTGGTGTTGGGTGTGGTCTATTATGCTAATGAGTTCCTGCTGGGCTTTTTCTACAAAAAGAGCCCTGCCTCCCCCAATGATACAGTTATCACAAAAGATCCCTGAAAACCTTCTTCATACCAGAACTCAGCTTCTATTTATTTGCTGCCCACGGGACATGGGCGTGGGGTGGCAGACATTACAAATATACAATCAGCATCCTTACAGTACCTCCTGCACGGTCCCATCTCCTCCTGCAATAATGATAATGTCTGTGTTTTCCATCAGCTCCAACAGCTTCTTCGCTTGTCCTTCATAATCTGTCTGAAATATAAGCAGAGACCAGAAACACTGTGTTAGGTACGAAAGGTCTGCTTGCAGGAGAATTTAAGCACAGGCTATTGCTCTAGGTGCCAGTTTGTTCAGAAGCATTTGCCCAAACAGCTCCCACCGACTAAGCTGGAGTATGCTCTGCAAGGGTTATTGAACTTCTGGTGCTGTTCACCTTTGCAAGCAGACCATTGATACAACCCATATGGGAATTCCGGAGGGTTAGTCCATTTTATCAAGAGAAGGCCTGTGGTTCCTGAAAGACTAACATTTATTCCAGCAGGAGTTTCTGCAAATCAAAGCTCACTTCTTCAGATGCTACAAAAAAGTCACCTGGAAAGTCACAAGGAAGTCACAAAAGGAGCAGGAAGAAAAATGGAGAAGTTGGAGCAGAGAGAAGCTTGGTGTGAATCCCGCCATAAGGGGCAGGCACAGATTAGTTGTAGTCCATAATGAATAATGAGAGAGGTCAGAGGTTCAGGGCTCTCTCTATCATTGGTGCAGACCAACGAAAGTGTAATTAAGTAGGATAAACAGCAGCAACTAACAGAGGAAGAAGCAGTCTGATTGCTTCAGTCTGACCTCTGCCATCATCCATTACAAGTGACAATATAATCTGTTTTAGTCCCTCACACAAGGAATCACATCTGAAAGATTTATGACCAAATTCACACCAAGCATCTATCTGCCCCCAACCCAAGGGTAGAGAACACATTTTGTGGGTAATTCTTTGATGTCCTGGAATTACTACAATTGAGTTGTGCCTTTTGCCCTATGAGTCTGGATTTCTGCCACACTTAAACTGTCTATTCAACTCCACAACCAACAATAATGCCTACTTAAAGGAAAATGCTACAGGCTTTGGCTTGGTACACACACGATACAAAAACACAGCAGCACACATCGAGCACAGAGATTCTTAAAACATATAGCTGCTCAACAACACATTATTGATATGCATGCTTAGATAAGTGCTGCTGTTTTTTGTATACTTAAATGTTGGGATTCTGAGATTCAAGATCGATGGTCGTTTTGCAAACACAAGAGTCACATTAGTAAAAGAAAAAATATATTTACTACAAAACAAAATAAAGCATGGGTAAGGTACTTTGGACAAAAGAAATAAAATGAAAAGGTTACATACTTGCAGTAACTTTCAGTACTACTATGTTAACAGCTACATCTTTCTATCTATCTGACGGCTTCTAGAGGGAGCTTCCTGTCTGCTTCACACAAAGAACCATAAACCTTGTTGAATACATTAATGTTAGATCAAAGCTTTTTCACAAGCAAGTTGTTAGTTGACCAATACAAAGGTTACAGGTCACTTCTTTAGGCTAAACAACTCCCACAAACTTTCCCGCCGTAGAATACATTATGTAACGTAACATCCTGTTTCCTAACAAACAACACTTAACTCTGTAATGACTGAAGTGTAAGCAACTTGAAACTTTGTGTATCAATGGAGTCAAAGCGTACAGCAGTTTCAAGTAGATATCTGTGTAAGAGAGATTTCTGTTGGTCATGGTGTTCAATAGACTGTTTCAGTGGGACAGAAATCCATACACTCACATGCACACACCACACAGACACACAAAATTTGGTCAGATTAAATGGCATGAAGATGTAAAGCAGGTTTTAAAATCTTAAAACAGACTAATGTGGAACACAGAGTAATTTTTGGTAAAAACTGCTGTAGGGCTAATGGATAGCTCGAGTCTTTTCAAAGGAATATGTTTTCTTGAAAACCCTTTGGCTCACTGCCATTCGTTTGAGCACTACTGAAAGTGAACAGCACCACCTATAGAACCATTTTGGCCTGAAAGGAGGGCTATGCGACGGTATCCCATCTAAGCATTCGGAGAAACAGCATGCCACATTGCTTGGTGGTGGAAAGTGCTGTCAAGTCACAGCTCACTTATGGTGATCCTATGGGATTTTCAAGGCAAAAGATGTTCAGAGCTGGTTTGCTGTTGCCTGCCTCCGCGTCACAAACCTGGTACTCCTTGGAGGTCTCCCAGTCAAATACTAGCCAGAGCCGACCCTGCTTAGCTTCCGAGATCTGACGAGATTGGGCTATCCTGGGCTATCCAGGTCAGGGCACCACGTAGCTTACACAAATTACTAACAGGATAACTTCTTGGACAGATAAAGCAACTGGTAGACTGGAAAAGATCATGGCTCTGCTGCCATGGCAGGTGCTTTCATTCAATTTCTAGGGGTAGGTTTTCTTCCAAGGCTCATAACAGCTTCCATAGCCAGCGGAGCAGCTGCAGATCCTATAGTGAGTCCTATACTCTCTTGAGAGCTCTCAGGACCAAGGTAGCCCCCTTCCTTTTTCACTGGTCAAAAAATAGCATCCCTAAAATTCAACGCCTTCTAGGCAACTTTGGAGGCCCATCTCTCCCTTATTATAAAAGAGTTTTGGGTGCCAGAATTCTAAAATTGGCCCCTTTAGTGTTAGGCCGAAAAAACTGCCACTCGGAAGACACTGGCTGGGTTCATTGGCTGCTTTGTGCAGTCCCGGCCAGCGTTCCAAGGTCATTTACATATGGAAGCTGATTGGACTACACTCCATTCCACACCTCAAACTCACCCCCCCACAAGGCAGTTGGAATTTTCAGTTGGGAGAGGAGAATGATGTCAGCTGCTCCCTAGGCAGAGGCTGTGTGTGTGTGTGTG